TGAAGGAAAAGCTCAAACACACTGCTTCCTTCTGTGACAACATGAGAAAATCAACAAGCCAGAATCAACAAGAAAGCCAGATTACAATTAGCTAAATTACACTGGAAAAAGAGTAATGTTTGGAGACATGTCCTGTGCTCTGATGGAGCTAAGATTGAGCTGTTTGGCCATAATGACCAGTGTTACATTTGGAGGACAAAGGGGAAAGCTTACAAGCCTACAACACCATCCCAACTGTGAAGTATGTGGGCGGCAGCATCATGTTGTGGGGCTGTTTTGCTGCAGGAGGGACTGGTCCACTTCACAGCATAGATGGCATCATGAAGAAAGAACATTATGGAGAAATACTGAAGCAACATCTCAAGACATCAGCCAGGAAATTAAAACTTGACCACAAATGGCTCTTCCAAACAGACCATGACCCTCAGCATACTGCCAAATTATGTAAAATGTGCTTTAAGGACAACAGAGTGAATGTTTTGAAGTGGCCATCACAAAGCCCTGATCTCAGTCCTATAGAACATTTGTAGGCAGAGTTGAAAAAGCTTGTGCGAACAAAACAAATCTGACTCAGTTACACCAATTCTGTCAGGATGAATGGGCCAAAATTGCAAAACTATTGTGAGAAGCTTGTGGAAGGATGCCCAAAACATCTGACCAAAGTTATAAAGTTTAAAGGAAAGCTAAAAAAATCCTAAAAAAATGTGTGTAAACTTTTGACTGTCTAGAAATTAATTTTAAAAAATCTTTAAAAAATTCTCTCTCTCGCTATATATCTGTATGTATGGCCCTAGATTGACTCTATATAATTTGTAAATGTTTATAATCACTTGAGGGAGAGTAAATCGTAAGTAAATTGACATTTTTCGGGTGAACTTTCTCAGTAAATGAATGACTCTACAATCATTTTACCACTAACTAGTTGAATTCTCCTGGCAGAATCACACTCTGCAGCTTTGGGTGTTTGAGTTGGTACACACGGCTACACCCGTCCCTGCCATCGGCACAATGAGCAGAACAGTACGATCTGCTTTATGGCACATGTCGCTTATTTGGCTTGTGGTCTAGGTGGAGTTTGGCAACAGTTCTGAACTTAAACTGACATTGCATTGTGGATTTGCACATTGTGATATCGATGCTGAGATTGTACGTTAAATTGCGCAGCCCTAATTATTTTTCTTTTACTATTCTACAGGCTGTCTGAGCAGTACAGCCAGACCAATTTTCTCATTTGTAAAAACAAAACCTTACAAGGCAATACAATTTAAACAAAACGAACACAAATGGCTCCGTTGTACTTTAAATGAGAACTGAAGTGACACAATTTCAAACAAAATTCAACCAAAAGTGTGGAGAGATTTACATTACAAATACACATTACATACAAATCAAGCCAACATGGATTTATATTTCAGCTATAGAAGGTGTATTTAGCAAAAGCATTAAGGAAATTGAATGAACTTCTCCACACAAATAAATAGTGACGTAACGGTATCAGAATTTCACGGTACGATAATGCCTCGGTATGAATGGCACGGTACGGTATTTACTGAATAATTTACAGGAAAAACAAAACTAATGAAAAGACGAAGGACGAAACATGGCTCACGGTTTTACCTAATATGAAGCTTTGAAAATAACGTTTTACTTTGACTTTTCACTGTTGATTGTGTCTGGAGTGTTTGTAACAAAATGTGCTGCTTTAGCTAATTTCTGTCACAGTGATTACTAGGGACGTAACGGTATTAGAATTTAATGGTACGATAATGCCTCGGTATGAATGGCACGGTACGGTATTTATTGAATAATTTACAGGAAAAACAAAACTAATGAAAAGACTCGAAAAAAGTGCCAAAAGTGTTTATTTACCTTAGCACTGAATATATCAATGACATTCAAATTAGCCATCTATCTGAAAGTTTCGAAACAGGAACTTCAATTTTTCAATTTTAATAACAAAAAAATAGTTTCAATGTAGTATTGTTGAAAACTCATCACATTCAACGTTTAATCACGCACTCACTTAGATAGAGATGTTTTTTTTTAAGGAAAATTATCATATAACTATAATCTGGTAAAAGCTGGAATCTCTGGGCATTTAAAATGTCCCCTGCAACAGAAAAAAAAACCCCTCTCATTTGGGACTGAGGTTTCTGGGACAGAGAGATATGATTTAGCCAAGGTTGACAGCAGTGGGTAACGTTGTGCATTGTCTTTCCACCACTTGAGAGGACAAGCCATGAGTGAGATAGAGATCTCTTTGCTGTACAAGTCAATGTCTGCTTCAATCTAACAAGTGTGCTGTGTTCTGCAGTCCCCATGACTGTTTTTAGTCGTATTCCCCGACTTATATTTCACCACAGTCTGGCAGTGCCTGCATACTGTTTTGTTTTCTTTGTCTGTCACTTTTTCTCCTTTTTCGTATCTTTTTAAAAAGAAACCGAAATGCTTCCACACATCCGATTTAAAACCCTCTTTAGGTTCGATCATTTCCAGCTCTTTTACTTCCCCGCTACTAGCAACACACTCCATTTCAACATTACTGGATCTGTAGTGACAACAGACCGCAAAGGATGATGGCCATGCCTAGGCTGATGGGAATTGTAGTTCCCGCTACCTCCCGTTCGCTTCATTCGCCTGAGCAAACTTTTCTCAGAAATATAGTTTTATTGAGTCATGCGCCTACGGTAATATTGAAAAAAATTACTATTGCAGTATTTACAATACCGTTACATCCCTACAAATAAATGTTTTGTTGATTTATCAATATTAAAGGCATATTCAGAAACCCAAACATGCAAATCCTGTCATTATTTACTCACTCTCAAGACGTCAGTGGTCCACACACAAGATTATAGAAATTAATACTGATTAGGGACGTCATCAGAGTGAGCAAATGTTGACAGGATTAAATTTTAGGGTGAACAACCCCTTTTCTCTTCACTCTTAACGTCCACTTTAGACACAATAACATCTGTGTTTATATGTAAATCTTGTAGGGTTTCCATTTCTGTAGTCTTCACTTTCAGCGATTTAAAGATTATTTAAAGATAATGAACACCTTGAAGGCTGCACGGTGGCGCAGTGGGTTGCACAATTGCCTTACAGCAAGAAGGTCGCTGGTTCGCTGGTTCGAGCCCCTGCTGGGTCAGTTGGTGTTTCTGTGTGGAGTTTGCTTGTTCTCCCTGTATTCGTGTGGGTTTCCTCCGAGTGGTCCGGTTTCCCCCACAGTCTAAAGACATGTGCTATAGGCTAAATTGTCTATAGTGTATGTGTGTGTATGGATGTTTTCCAGTGATGGGTTGCAGCTGGAAGGGCATCCGCTGCATAAAACATATACTGGATAAGTTGGCAGTTCATTCCACTGTGGCGACCCCTGATTAATAAAGGGACTAAGCCGGAAATAATAATAATAATAATAACACATTTTATTTGTAATGCGCTTTTCTTAAACTCAAAGCGCTGCAAGGCAAAATACTAACAATACAAGGCAAGCAAAACAGCACAACAATACAAAGATGCATTTAACCAAAAATAATATGAACCATAAGATAGAATAATAAGTTAACAAATTGATCATCTTAAGTTAAAAGCAATGCTAAAACACGAGTCTTAAGAAGTTTCTTAAAACTGTTCAGAGAGGCAGCATTTATAATGCTGATGGGTAAGGAATTACACAGCTTAGGCACACTGTATGAGAAACCCCTTCCACCCATGGTCTTGAGTTTACAGAGTGGCTGATACAGGGTAAGTCCCGATGTCGAACGAAGTCTGTGGTCTGGGGTAGCGAGAGTCACCAGGCCAAAGATGTAACCAGGTGCTAGTCCATGCACTGCTTTGAAGGTTAAAATCAAGGTCTTAAAATCAGTCCGTGATTTAATAGGAAGCCAGTGTACTTGTTGTAGTACAGGAGTAATATGGTGGCGTGATGATGTGTGTGTCAGAACCCGTGCAGCAGAATTTTCAATATGCTGTAATCTTCTGAGAGAACTTGTTGGTAAACCCCCAATAAAGTGAATTACAAAAATCAAGACGTGATGTAATAAAGGCATGGATAAGCCTCTCAGCAACAGGTCGTGAGAGAAATGGTCTAATCCGTGCAATATTGCAGAGATGAAAGAAGGCAGTTTTTGTGAAGTGTTTGAAGTTAAAACTCCCTCTTGAAAAATGAATGAAAACAAAATGAAAAAATGAATGAATGAAGACAATTGGTTATACCAAATGGTAATGATAAAAAAATACATAAAATAAAAATAATAATTGCAAAGCAAGCTAGCAAATTAAAGTAAAATGAAAGTACCTCAGGCATCCTAGTTTTGTTGTCTTTGTGTTACCCCCTTTAAATTAGTTTTTGTTGTTTTTATTCCACGACACTACATTGACCGCTATTGCTATGCTAAAACGTGATGTTTTATCCACTATATGGATTGGATAGATTACTGCTAAGACCGCAGCTCTGCACGAGACGTTTGGCCAGCGGATAAATTAAAATGGTCATTCCCAACGGAGTCTGGTTTCTCTCAAGGTTTTTAACTTCACTATCGCCAATTGGTGAAGTTTTTTTCCCCTCTCCGCTGTCGCCACTAGCTTGCATGGTTTGAGATCGGTAGAGCTACGCATCGATGGATTTGCTCTTCAGTGTTTAGACCCTCAGTAGTGATTATTAAACCACACTGAACTGAACTTAAACACTAAGTACTGAACTACACTGTTCCAATTTACTATGACCATTTATGTGAAGCTGCTTTGACACAATGTACATTGTAAAAGCGCTATACAAATAAAGCTGAATTGAATTGAATTACAGGAGCTGGATTCACTGGTCAGATGTGTTTGAAATGCAGCACACTGAGGACATCTGCTGGTACTATCATGCTACATTTCTTCAAAATGGCCAAAAATCATCATCTCGCACACGCCTAAATAGACTGCAACATCACACGACAGTCTGAGAGAAGCAGGTATGATAATCATGATCTATTGTCCTTTTTCTCTTTCAGAAACCTGCCAATATCCTGGTAATGGGGGAAGGTCCAGAGCGAGGACGAGTCAAAATTGGTAAAAACTCATTCTTTCTACATTGGATTGCTGCATGTGGGGGGTTGTCGCGGATAAAAGTTAGGATGGAGGAGGGAGGGTCGTGAATCCCGCCCTCTCTTTTCTGCCGCCCCAGGCAGCTGCCTAGGTCGCCTGTGCGGACGCGCCAGCCCTGATTAGACACTCACAGCTGAAGCTGCTTTTGCACTGATTACTGCAATTTAAATACAGCACACTTACACAGAGTTGTTGCTGAGTCTTGTTTACTGTAAAGCAACATTACAACCATTTCCTTTGTGTTGCTTTGCCGTGTTTTTGTTCCTCGTTTGTTTGTTTAATCCTGTTTGCTGCCTGTCTTTTTGACTACGACTCTGGATTGCCTGTTTGCCCCTGTATTGACCACTGCTTCCCTGACCTCGCCAATAATCCTGCATTTGGATCCGCACCCCTGTTGTCAGCGTCACATCCCTTGTTACACTAATGCAGACTTGAGCACTGTACTTGCATTAGAAATCCCAGAAGTCAATGCGGCAAAATGAAGGAGGTGGAAAGCACAGCTGCTTATATACCAAATTATATATAAGTTCAGAGATAACTTGATTGTCTCAGGAGTTGCCCCAAATGATACGGTGGTAGTAAACAATCACATGAGAATCCCAATAAAGCCATAAACACATTAAAGGTGTTTATTTGCTGAATTTCAAAGTCAAATCTGTTTTATTTATATTGTTCTAATATCTTGGTAGGACATTTGTGCGTGGTATATCTACTGAAAAACCAAAAGAAGACAATAAATCGCTGTATGAATGCTGTAATGCTTAAATAATTCCCAATTAAATTGCGTGAAGGTCATGTGACCAGGATGAACGCAGCATCTCATTTCTCACAGGACGCGTTCTCTGTTCCCACGGTCTCCTGAGGTAACTCGACAAGAATATTCTCTGTGTTCTTGGAATTGAGAAGCAGTCATGTAGTCTGATCTGTCAATGTTTAAAGTCATGTGCTGCTTCCCAATTCGCATACATATGACGTATTATAAAAATACATTTGTTTTGAGTGTGTGACAGAGGAGTGTGCAAACTTTGGGACTAACTACTTTCTAATTGCTTGGTTACATCCCCTGTAAATCATCTCGACACATCATCCACATTTCTGTCATATTTAATTACCTCCCTTATAGGAGATATGGACAAATGACCATGTTTGTAAACATTCAGGATGCGCGGGGTTGCAGAAAAAAACAGGAGCGCTAGCATTTACTGTACAGCGAGGGAATGACATCCGATGCGGTACAGAGTTTGTTGTTGTCTTAGAGATAAGTTATATTGATTACATATTATATATATATTATTTACATAGTGCTTTCAGTGTATTAGAACAGCTCGCCACCCAGTGATAAGCACAGTGATTTGGCAAAATTAACAGAGTGAGCGGCGTTCATCTGACAGGTCTATTTGCGATAGCATTCTCCCAATGGATACTGGATAGGACAAAATTGTCACGGTATGGGGGTGGTGATGAAGAGGAGGCGAGGACCCAAATGCAGGGAATGAAGAATTTAATGAAAAAATAAAACAAAAACAAAACTCAAATCTCCCCATGTGGGGAAAAACACAACATTATATTACACACTCAACAAGACAAGATCTGGAACTTTTCAAGACAATACTTTAAACCGCTGTTGTAGAATGGAAATCAGCAACAGGGAAGGGAACAATCAATAACGGACCAGCACAGAACAGAGCACACTAGGAGAATAAATAGGAAAGACAAACCAATAAACAGACAGGCGGACAGGTGAAAATAATAATTACAAACAAGGTAACAAGGTGGGTGGGACAAGACAATAGACGGGAGAGCGCATGACACAGAGAGACAATACAAGCCATGCGCTCACATAACACAACACTGAAGCACACGACAAAAGCACGTGACCACAATGTAAACACCGAGCCACGTGCTTTGACAAAAGACGCAAGACACGAGCACACGATGAATGAAAACACTCACCGTGCGGTCACACATGCAGCATGCATGCTTCATCCCAGCGCCGACCAAAACCGAAACCAACAAGACAATAAAACACCATGCTGCTGACAGACGAAAACACAAACACGAGTACAAGAGCGCACGCGTCTGAGGGACGCAGAGCGCGCGCGCGGCCGCGTCAAGCAGGAGCGCGCCCACTCTGCGTACACCCACGACGGCGCGCGCGCACACAGAGACAGAAACAGGACCAGACACGAGTAGTGTCCGAGATCTGCCACCAAAACAAGAATATACAAGATCAGAGTGGCAGAACCCTGACAAAAATAGCCAAGCATCCAGCCCCAAATATACAATCTCATTGAAACTCCAGGTGTTTTAACAAGAGAGAAGTTAAAGCCCTACAAGTCTTTGGATGCCAACAGTGTTCTGTGTGGTCATGTGCAAGAAATAATGCTCCATGATTGGCAGATTCAAAACTATGTAGTGCTAAAAACCGAGGTTCTGTCTAGCCAAAGACAAGGAAAGACGGAGCTGTACAAGGCCTGGGTAATCATCAACAAGCAAACTGCATTCTGACAGCGAACTGCAACTGTACGGCAGGATATGTGAACCTACACATAGAGGAAAAGTTGGTTTTATATTCGCAAATTCAGACTTTCTCCTTAATAATATATTGTCATAAAAGTATTATTTGCAAACTCTAACTAGAGAAATCATATTAGCAGCCAATGACTATCAAAGTACAACATTGTTCACAGTCAAATAACTACTACTTACATTTATATAGCACTTATCTGGGCACTCAATGCACTTTACACATAGGGGGGAATCTTCTTATCCACCACCAGTGTGCAGCATCCACCTGGATGACGCAACGGCAGCCATTTTGCGTCAGATCGCACACCACACACCAGCTGATTGGTGGAGACAGAGTGATGAAGCCAACAATGATATGGGGAGGGTTAGCGGGCTATGATGGACTGAGGCCAGTGGGCAAATTTGGGCAGGATGCCGGAGTTAAACCCGTACTCTTATTTCGAAGGACATCCTGGGATTTTTAACGACCACAGAGAGTCAGGACCTCGGTTTAATGTCTCATGCGAAAGACGGCGCTCACTGAGCAGTATAGAGTCCCCGTCACTATACTGGGGCGTTAGGACCCACATAGACCGCAGGTTGGGCGCCCCCTGCTGGCCTCACTAACACCACTTCCAGCAGCAACCCAGCTTTCCCATGTGGTTTCCCATCCAGGTACTGACCGGGCACAGCCCTGCCTTGCTTCAATGGGCAACCATGTGAGAGTTGCAAAGAACTAGCTGCCGGCTTATAAACAATGTTAATAATAAACAAAATATCCAGTGTTAATGATGTTAATGAAGTCACACTTGCTGGTTATTTCAGACCAAATATTCAAAGTGCCGTGGTAAACAATATAGGGAGTGTGTCACAAGTTGTCACTGAATGAATGTGTGTATATAAAACCAAGTTTACCTTCATAACTTACACTTTCACGTTTCATTCTTAGCTTTCAGTGTCCGCAGTTTAATTCACCATATGTGACTGTTTTTGCTGAAATTATTGCTGAATGAGTAAAATGAGTAATGAGTATGATTCAGCATAGCGTGAACTTACCTGATATGACATGAAAACTGCAGAGTCCAGCATTTTTAAATAGGTCGTCACTTCATTCAGCTCCCTTTTAGCCAAAGACGTGTGCAGTTTGCATTAAAGCAGTGTGGTGTACAGTAAAAGTTAGGTTTTCTATTTGTGGACTTTTCAAATTTGTCATCTGTAGGAAAAAAGGAATTTATTTTTATTACTTTTGTGTCTTTATTTTTTATTAGAAATATGTTTAGGCTAACAACAGATTAATCAATCTTTTCTATTGTATTATAACACATCTTGACCAGACACACTTCGTCTTTTTTACTGTGCTGCATACTTTTTAGAAGAACTGCTGACTAGTGGAAAAAGCAGAATAAGAATAAATTTAGGTTTGGTCCAGACTGCTGTCTGGACAAGTCACAAGGAGCATGATCTTTGTAGAAGTTGTGAAATATATTAAAGATGCATGTAATTGTTCAGTTCTGGTATGCAAAGAAGGGTTGCAAAAAGAGGAAGTATGTCTAGGGGTTACAAAGAGCCAAGGGACTGCAGAATGACTGATCAGTGACGTTAAACCAACACTCCACCTGTTAATATCAGTTGTGTATATATGCTGGAGTCAGGAAAAGTAAGTTAGTTGTGAACCTTTTGAATGTAATTCTTGTATTGCATGGGGGTACCATAACCCAGAGCTCTGTCATTGAATTATTCATCTGTATCTAATAAATTACTAATATTTTTGGCATTGAAGAAAACACTCTCCAGACCTTTTCTTATTGAACACACATAGAATTGCCTAGATATTCCAACACATCCTACAGCACAACACGACATGTTTGCTATTGCAACCGGTCTCTTTTTGACTCCGGGAACCTGTGTGACGTCATGTGTGACGTAGATTGGTCATTCGTCTTTTCAGATCTGTGTTAATCTGCCATTTGTGATTCTTTCATGCAGAGAGATCTTTGCAGGTGTTTGTGTAATGCATTCAGAAGTCCAAACACGTCTTTATAAAACTTCATATTATTGCTGCAGATGGTTTATAACTCAGGAAATGTGATTTAAATATCTTCCAGTTGTCTAGATATTAAGTAATAGTCATTCGAACATCTTCTCTCTACTTGACGGTTGGTCTTGCATGTCCACCATGTTTGTAGTTTGTTTACACTTTTCCCCCAAGTTTGTTGTTCTAATTGAATTCACTTCCAAAGCACAATGTATTGTGGGCGATATTGGCGAACGGTTCTACACTTTTCTGCATGCTACCGGTTGGAACAAACTAATTCTATTTTCAAATCCTATTTAGGATGGGGGACTCACGGTTGCGCAGTGGGTAGCACGATCGCCTCACGGCAAGAAGGTTTTCTGTGTGGAGTTTGCATGTTCTCCCCGTGTTCACATGGGTTACCTCCTGGTGCTCTGGTTTACCTCACAGTCCAAAGACATGCGCTATAGTGAATTGGGTAGGCTAAATTGTCCATAGTGTATGAGTGTGAATTAGGGTGTATGGATGATCACCAGTGATGGAAGGGCATCCGCTGTGTAAAACATATGCTGGATAAGTTGGCGGTTCATTCCACTGTGGCGACCCCAGATTAATAAAGGGACTAAGCCGAAAAGAAAATGAAGAATTAAGGATGGATAGCATGCGAATTGGGATGCAGCAATGTAGTGTGAACTAGGCTTTAGAGTGCTTAGGCGGCGGTCATCAGGGTCAGACTGGGTAAATGTGAAGCCATTGTTTTACATAAGACTCTATTCTGGGCGATGAGTGTTCAGGGCACTATTTTTACCACCATGTGGAATGTGTTATTGTGTTTGGTTACTGTGTGTCTTTCAGCGTTAGTTTGACTCAACGTGACCACTGCTGTTTCATCACTTAAGCAGCGAAACTAATCTTTTAATCCAGGGCTCAAGATTGGGTATAAACGTTTTCTTGCTAGTGCAACTTAAAAGGACTGGTTCATCCCAAAAAAGCGAAAGTTTCTGCCATCATTTTCTCACGCCTTGACTTGATCCAAACCATTTTGGGCTGTTTTGTTCTGTTGAACACATTCATCCATTCATTTTCTTTTCGGCTTAGTCCCTTGATTAATCTGGGGTCACCACAGCAGGATGAACCGCCAACTTTTCCAGCATATGTTTTACACAGCCCTTCCAGTTGCAACCCATCCCTGGGAAATGCCAATACACACTCATTCACTACGGACAATTTAGCTTACCCAATTCAAGTCTTTGGACTTGTGGTGGAAACTGGAGCACCCAGAGGAAACCCACGCCAACACGAGGAGAGCATGCAAACTCCACACAAACTCCATGCAGACTCCACACAGAAACGCCAACTAACCCAGCCGAGGCTTGAACCAGTGACCTTCTTGCTGTGAGGCGACAGTGCTGTGCCACCGTGCCGCCCATGTTGAACACAGAAAAAGGTGAAACCAGTAACCACTGACTTCCATAGTAGGAAAGAAACATAGTTTTGGAAGCAATTGAGGGAAAGTAAGTAAGCAAATGTTTATTTTAGGGTGAACTAGCCCTTTAAGCTCAACATACTGCTACATTCAACTCAAGATGTGCATTTCTTAGTGAGAAAGCATGAATTATTAATCGTACATGCTGCCTCGAGCACTGCTGGCCTGAAGTGGTCTTCTTGAGTCCTGTAGTCTCTGCCTGGTTATAGGACGAAACACGGCCCACGATTTTACCTTATATGAAGCTTTAAAAAATAATGTTTCACTTTGACTTTTCACTATTAATTGTGTCTGGAGTGTTTGTAACAAAATGTGCTGCTTTAGCTCATTTCTGTCACAGTGATTACTAGGGATGTAACGGTATTAGAATTTAATGGTACGATAATACCTCGGTATGAATGGCACGGTACGGTATTTATTGAAAAATTTACAGTAAAAACAAACTAATAAAAAGACTCGAAAAAAGTGCTAAAAGGGTTTATTTACCTTAGCACTGAACATATCAATGACATACAAATTAACCATCTATCTGAAAGTTTCGAAACAGGAACTTCAATTTTTCAATTTTAATAACAAAAAACTATAAAACCATATAAAAAAAATAGTTTCAATGTAGTATTGTTGAAAACTCATCACATTCAACATTTAATCACTCACTCACTTAGATAGAGATGGGTTTTTTAAGGAAAATTATCATATAACTATAATCTGGTAAAAGCTGGGATCTCTGGGCATTTACAATGTCCCCTGCAATAGAAAAAACCCTCTCATTTGGGACTGAGGTTTCTGGGACAGAGAGATATGATTTAGCCAAGGTTGACAGCAGTGGGTAACGTTGTGCATTGTCTTTCCACCACTTGAGAGGACAAACCATGAGTGAGATAGAGGTCTCTTTGCTGTACAAGTCAATGGTTGCTTCAATCTAACAAGTGTGCTGTGATGATGGCCACGCCTGGGCTGATGGGAATTGTAGTTCCCGCTACCTCCCGTTCGCTTCATTCGCCTGAGCAAACTTTTCTCAGAAATATAGTTTTATTGAGTCATGCGCCTACGGTAATATTGAAAAAAATTACTATTGCGGTATGACGGTATTTACAATATTGTTACATCCCTAGTGATTACACTTCATTTTCACTACTCTTTTAAAACAGTTATATTATACCCCAACATATAACCCAACGTTCCCAACATAGCTGGTTTTGGCTGGGCTCCCAGCCTGGCTAGGCTGGTCAAGCTGGTTTTAGCTGGTCATCTCCCATCCTGCCAAGCTAAGACCAGGCTGGAAATGGCTGGAAACCAGCCTGGAAATGGCCAAAACCCCTCTAAAACCAGGCTGGTCAACCAGCTAAAACCAGCCAACCAGCCTAGGCTGGTTTAAGCTGGATTTTTTAGCAGGGATAAAAAAGTGACACACTCACTTTCCTGACTTTTTTCAAACTAGAGGTGTGAAAACACCCTGCTGAAACAGGGGTGTTTACTGGCCCTTTAAGAGATATCTGATCTAGACATCTACATGAGAAAAGTCTTCTTTGCAGTGTAGAGTAAAAGAGCACAGCTCAGCTGAGGCTGGAGTGATCTGCAGACTGAATGGTTTATTATATGGTTTATTCACGTGTGTCTGTGCTTGTGTGTCGTAGCTGATATGGGTTTTGCTCGACTCTTCAACTCTCCGCTGAAGCCTCTGGCTGATCTGGACCCAGTGGTCGTCACCTTCTGGTACCGGGCGCCTGAACTGCTCCTCGGGGCGAGACACTACACCAAAGCAATCGGTGAGCTGTGCGTCGACTTTACTCATGGCTAGGCCCACACGGAATCTGCTTGCGTAGAATTCCGCAGATTTTCCGCAGATTTTTAGCCCATCATTAATTCTGTTTATTTACTTGAGTAAATGTGTGTAAATCTAAATTTATTCAGTTTTTAAATTAATTTCAGTAACATTATTGACTAATATGAAAATGTTAGGGTTAGGGCATCTGATTTATGCACAATGCAGTAAGTATTATTTCCGGCTTTTAGAAGAGATATTATTTAAGAGACTTGCTTTATTTACCAAAAAAGCTAAATCTAATTTGCATTTTGAACATTAAATAAAAGTTAAAAAGGTATAATTTTTTTTATTTCATATATTAAGGTTTTAGTTATGATACTCCCAAAATAATTCAGCAGAAATCCACAAATTTTTACCAAATTTCTCTGCAGAAATAGCAAAAACACATCCGCAGATTCCGTCTGGCCCTGCTCATGGCCAATCTACCCTTTGTTATCTGCACTTAACATTGTTTGACTGTGTTTGTAGATATTTGGGCAATAGGCTGTATCTTTGCGGAGCTGCTGACGTCAGAGCCAATCTTCCATTGTCGACAAGAGGACATAAAGACCAGCAATCCTTTCCATCACGACCAGTTAGATCGCATATTCAGCGTCATGGGCTTCCCAGCAGGTACACTGCAAAATATAATTCTTACTTAAAGTTTATGTCTTGTTTCTAGTCTAAATATCTCAAAATTCTTAAAGCAAGAAGCTTTTTCTAGACAAGTACAAAATAATGTCTTGTTTTAAGGAATAATATGTCAAAATTATCAACCAATGACTTTCAAAGCGAAACCAACATTATTTTGTTTACCCTTTTGGCAGATTATATAAAATAATAGTTTATTTGTAGCCATTATAATAGCAAAATTACAAGAAAATGATAATAATAGAGTGACTTTCAAACCCTGCAATGACCACCCTACTGAAAAATCCAGCTTAAACCAGCCTAGGATGGTTGGCTGGTTTTAGCTGGTCGACCAGCCTGGTTTTAGAGGGGTTTTGGCCATTTCCAGGCTGGTTTCCAGCCATTTCCACACTGAAAAAAATTATTCGAAGATGATTCCTTGGATTTACTCAATTTCTTTACATTAAGAGGTTGTAAACAATTTATTTGGGCTGAATTTAAACAAACAAATTAAGTTGAACATTAAGTTGTACTAAACTTAATTTGTTTGTTTAAATTCAACACAAACAAATTGTTTGCAACAGTTCTGCATGCAACACTTTTTTCATTGCAGCCTGGTCTTAGCTGGACAGGCTGGGGGATGACCAGCTAAAACCAGCTTGACCAGCCTAGCCAGGCTGGGAGCCCAGCCAAAACCAGCTATATCTAGCGTAAACCAGGCTGGTCAAGCTGGCTTTAGCTGGTCATTTTCCAGCCTGACCAGCTAAGACCAGGCTGGAAATAGTTGGAAAGCAGCCTGGAAATGGCCAAAACCTCTCTAAAACCAGGCTGGTCAACCAGCTAAAACCAGCCAACCAGCCTAGGCTGGTTTAAGCTGTTTTTTTCAGCAGGGCAGGCAAACAAACCTTTCTCGAACTGATATATACACTTTATTAGGTGCACCTGTCCAACTGCTCGTTAACGCAAATTTCTAATCAGCCAATCACATGGCAGCAACTCAATGCATTTAAACATGTTGGCATGGGCAAGACGATCTGCTGCAGTTCAAACCGAGCATCAGAACGTCATCACTGTGCACTGTTATGTAAAGTTGATTCCTTTTTCCTATAGATAAAGACTGGGAAGATATCAGAAAAATGCCAGAGTATCCTACCTTACAGAAAGATTTCAGAAGAACCACGTAAGTGCAGTGTTTTCTTCCATACTAACACCGTTTCTTTCATCAGCCAAAACTTTATTAAGTTTATGTATTTCCAAGTCTAATCACATTTGTTGAAGTAAATCAGTCTTATTGAATATACAGCAAAGCGGCGTTGTGATTCTGTGCTGAATGAAAACAGCTGACTTCTTTTTTATAATTCACTCACCGTGCAATGTTCAGTCTCCACTGCGTTAACCGCGTCAGCTAAACTCTCCCACTCTATTTTTTTCTTTTGTTATTAATTCCGGAGGACAAACTTGCAAATAACACTGCTTTTCTGTGATCTACCTCCGATAAAAGCACCTCCAATTCACATTCTGTGAAGTTTCTCTTCTTGCTGGCTTTTCCCTACTGAAAAAAAACAGCTTAAACCAGTCTACGCTGGTTGGCTGGTTTTAGCTGGTCGACCAGCCTGGTTTTAGAGGGGTTTTGGCCATTTCCAGGCTGGTTTCCAGCCATTTCCAGTCTGGTCTTAGCTGGTCAGGCTGGAAGATGACCAGCTAAAACCAGCTTGACCAACATAGCCAGGCTGGAAGCCAGTCAAAAACAGTTATATCCAGCTTAAACCAGACTGCTCAAGCTGGTTTTGGCTGGATTTAGCTGGTCATTTTCCATCCTGCCAAGCTAAGACCAGGCTGGAAATGGCTGGAAACCAGCCTGGAAATGGCCAAAACCCCTCTAAAACC